TTATAATGGTAATTAAACAAAGTTTTGCTCACTCAGTGTATTTTTGATTTTACAGTTGGGTAATTTTGTTGCAGTAGCACAAGATAGCTTGATTTAAAACTTTGAATTGAATAAAAAAAGTCAAGGAGGCTAAGCAGTTAATAATAAAATAAGAACAAATAAAGAAATTACTAATGATAGCACAAATAGAAAATAACGATAGGCCTACAAATGAAATAAATTGCTTTTTAGTTTTTCAGGTAGGTCTAACACACTGTAGGGCTATTAAGAGGTTGTTTTTTTTACCAATTATCCAAATAATGTTTAATCCTAGAAAGCTATTATTATCAGAGGACACGTGAGCATAACGGTTAGCAGATCAATGAATGAGAGGGCAGCGTTACCAGAGTTGCCCATTTACCACACCTTGTTACAGCACAGTAGGGCTATTGCAAACAGAAACAATACTGTACTTACTACATAGATGTTTCCTGTCAGCTCAATTTTTGAGTGGACTTTGCTGTTCCGATGAGCATGAACGGTATATGAGTGGAGCACTCACATGGGCCGTGAGCGACTGAGTGGAGCACACACACGCATAGAGCGGGATAATACGCCGCGGCACCCCGGTTGGGAAACACTGGTCTAGGAGACAAGGTCTTCACTGGGGATCTGTCTCTGGGGCTCATCTAGTTGTCCTGGTCTCCGCTGACATTCAGGGCTGTAGAGGTCCTCTCTAGGTGCTGATCCACCATCTGGACTGGATACGTACTGGATCCGAATATTGAAAAGGTGGCTGAGGAGCCTTCGGCTGCAGTGCAGGAGGGGGCAGTGGGAGGGGTACCGCTGTCGAATGGAGTTGAGGAAGCATTTGGGTCTTCAAGCGCAGAAATTGGAGAAGGTAGGCTGACTCAGGAGGAACGAGAGGAAATGGCGAGGAATCCTAATGTGGCCAATCTCGAAAGCTATAATATTTGGGAAAAAATGTTCAGCATGGAGTTGAGCGGCTGCAAGCATACAATAAAATCTTTGGGGCAAAATCCTGAAACCTCTCGCAAAGAAATAAAGCCACAAACCAACCCAAGCAGGTTGGAAGTCTTACAGGAAGAGCTGCCAACGAAGATCGAAAGCTTTGACGTCCCTGCTGGCATCCCTCAATACAACTTCATGGATGAAGACAAATTCCTCATAGCCACATCCCTGTTTGCATGTGACACGAGACCCAAGAAGAAACTCATCTACGAACATTTGGAGCCCATGAAGATTAAAACAGTCCGCACTTTCCAAGTCCCAACTAGCTTCAAAGCCAAACAAAGTCGCATTTGAAACCCCTCGCATAACAAAAAGGTGAAATCAATGACATGCCAAAATGGGATGAAGTTCAAGCAACTGGTGTGCTCTTTGGAGAGGGAACTACGGGGGCATCTCATAGCTGAATCTGGGTCCACAGATGCCCTTCTTCTGGACGTTGGAACACAGACGTATGATTTCAACTCGGCACCTTTCAAAGCAGAGGCTTCACTGGCTGATATCACTGCTGACCGGGCTTTGAAACTTCACGTCCACATTCAGGTCGAGAGTGTCACCAGAAGACACAACAAATCCAGCTTTGCGTTTACGTACCTCTGCAACCACATATTCAGACGGGACGAGTTTCCTTCACTACAAGAACGTTCATTCTGACATCCAGAGTTGCGTCAGTGGATGGTTTGAACAGCAATGCCCTCTCTCCTACCTTGGCTGCACTTTTATTCAGAGAAGGTTTCAGCCCAGCTCTCACAGAGATCGACAGTTTTCTACGACAAGGAGCTCAGCACTTTCTGCCTCCGACCGGAGGTTTCAGATAAACTGTATGAAGGTATAAAACCAGTGACTGTGGAAAGAAAGCGTGCATGCAATACAGATGCTCTGAGCAGACTACCTTTTGAGGTTCTTGTCCATATTGCTGGATTTCTTGACAGCTTCACCCTGTCCCAGCTGGCTCTGGTTTCTCGTCTAATGAGGGAGGTATGTAGGACCTTGCTTCATGATAGAGGGATGGTCTCACTGAAGTGGGAGAAGAAGGTCTATTCTCATGGTGGATGGTGCTGGAGAGCCAGAAAGAGGGTGAGTTTCTAAAGTAATTGAAATACTGAATTAAAAAAAGGCAATCTGCAGAGAACAGGTCTATCATTTAGAGTCGGAAGTCTCAATGAGCCGTTTGTAGAGAAACACCATTTTAAAAAACTAGAATTTTCTAGAAACTAGCGCTGTCAAATGATTAATTGCGATTAATCGCATCCAAAATGAAAGTTTTTGTTTATGTAATATATGTATGTGTACTGTGTATATTTATGTATAAATACACACACATACAGTAAATATTTTGAAAATATTTACATGTATATACATTTATATATTTATATTCATATATTTTATATTATATAGAAATATATTTAATATATAAACATAACATTTTTCTTAAATATATACATGCATGTGTTTGTATTTATATATACATAATAAATATACACAGTATACACACATATATTATGTAAACAAAAACTTTTATCTTGGATGCGATTAATCGTTTGACAGCACTACTAGAAACAATGCAAGCAGAGACTTGCTAAGTGCATAAATCTCAAAATGTGTTTCTCAAACTCAAAATGATGGAGCAGTTCACTTATGTACGTGCATGAACATTTAAAAAATAATAATCTGCCTTACACTAATTGACATTCAAATCGTCATCAGGTTTTGCAGTTTAGCAACCTGTTCTCCACTGTGGACAGCTGGTGCTTTGACAAATTGCCTCCAATTTCTGAACATCTAAAGGTTTGTCCATACTACCAGAGGGAGAATAAGACAGCACCTGTTCCTTTAACTGGTGTTCATGAGTCCCATGAGAAGGAAGCACACAGGAATCAGAGTCTAGTCTCCATGTTCATGAAAAACAAGTAGCATTTGTATTATAAGAGACAATATTACAATTATATACAATTGTATTATAATTAACACAAATTAAATGTTGTTTTTATGTGACATACATACACACTTACACACAAACACACAAAATCATCTATAATGAAATTCTATGTTATTTTGTTCACAATTTAATTTTGTCATATGTGCAAAAATAAATAAATAAACCACAATTTTTCAGTTTTGGCATGGAATTATTATTATTATTTTTTTTGTGTGTGTTAAATTTATGCCCTGTCCTTTCACCCAAACATGAAAATTCAATCATCATTTACTCACCCTCATGTCTTTCCAGACCTGTATTGCTTACTTTCTTCTGCAGATCACAAAAGAAGATATTTTGAAGAATGTTGGTAACCAAACCGTTTGATTACCATAGACTTTGTATAGACAAAAAAAAAAAAAAGTTTAAATAAAAATCAAATTGTTTATTATGTGGTAATCTTATCATTGTTTACCTGTGTAGTTAAAAGGGTTAAGTTGGGTTAAGTGAAGGTTGTGACAGTAAAGGGGTCTTTTTAAGAAATAAAACACAGATTTTTTTTACCTTTTATTATGACACTAAATGTTTTATTAGAATAGAAAACATGTTGATGGAGAATGGGGAAGGAAAAATGCATGTGTTGGCAATTTCAAGAGATGTTTAATATAGTTCAAATTTTGGAGAAATGAAACAATTACACAGCATTTTTTTCTTTTTACCCCAGTTTACCGCTCACAAAATTTACAGAGGGACACTGGTAAGGCAGAATTTTCTAACTGCTAAGGATTTTATGATTTTAGATTACTATAACTATATAGTTGTTTCTATTGTACATTAACTCAAAACGCCTGTGCAACTAACCTCATTTGTTCTTCGTGATTTATCTTAGATGTTTTAAGATGCAGCCGCTGGGTTTACGTGCTTTTCTTTGGGTGCTGCTTCCCTTTGCTTTCTGTCAGGATGATAAATGTGCGATACATGGGAGAGATGGCGTGAATGGAGTCCCTGGCAGAGACGGCTTACCAGGAGCAAAGGGAGAGAAAGGAGCACCAGGTAAGAAAGTAATGTGTGATATGCATCCAGAGGCGGACAGTAACTAAGTACATTTACTTGAGTATTGTACTTAAGTACACTTTTTGAGTATCTGTACTTTACTTGAGTATTATTTTTTTCTGGGAACTTATGACTTCAACTTCACTACATTTGAAAGACAAATATTGTACTTTTCACTCCACTACATTTCTATCAAAGTCCTCGAAGTAGAAAGTCGTTACTATGTAGCAGCTTTGAAGTCAGTGGGTGGTTTTTTTTCTTCTCTAAAACTCCCTGCTTTTGTGGGGGTGGGTAGGGGTGTTAATTTTTTTTCCCCATAGGTTTTTAACATTCTAAAAGCTCTTTATTCCAAAGATACTACAAGCTAGTAGGTGTAATGTATTCTAAGTTGCTTCAGAAGTATTGCAAGTATTACGTACAACAATAAAACAGTGCATTGACATAAAAAAGGAAATTTACTTTTGGTGCTTAAGTACTTTTAAAAGCAAGTACTTCTGTACTTTTACTTAAGTAAAAATCTGTCTTTACAACTTTTACTTGTAATGGAGTAATATTTGACCAGCGGTATCTGTACTTTCACTCAAGTAATGGAGTTGAGTACTTTGTCCGCCTCTGTATGCATCCTATATCCATGGGTAGTTGAAAATGTTCAGTTAAAAATAGCATTATAAAATAGCAGTGTTAAAACTGATATTATAGTTTTTGAATATTAGTATGTTCTCTCAGCATTGCAGGATGAGCTGAACAGGATCAGCCTGCAGGAACTCAAAGGAGAGACAGGCATCAGAGGCCCTCCAGGAGAACCTGGTCCAAAGGGTTTCATGGGTGCACAGGGTCCAAAGGGTTTTCCTGGTCCTAAGGGTCCTAGAGGATCCAGTGGTGGCATTGATGGCAGTGGAGAAGCCAGTAAGAAGCCAGCTTTCTCTGTGCTGCGAAACCGAGCAGATTTGGCTTCATATGGCCAACCTGTGACCTTTGATAATCAACTTAGCAATGTTGATAATGAGTTCAACCTTGCAACTGGCTATTTCACTTGCAAGGTTCCTGGGGTGTATTACTTTGTGTTTCACGCATCATCTGAAGGACACTTATGTCTCAGACTTAAGAGTAACAGGAATGCAGTCAGCCTGAATTTCTGCGACTTAAACCCACGATCATTATCTGCTGTTGTGTCAGGTGGAGCTGTACTTCAACTATCTACAAATGACAAAGTATGGATTGAGCCTTTCACAAAAACTGCTGCTGGCAGCAAAATGTCCAAAAGCACGTATGCTGTGTTCAATGGATTTTTAATCTACCGCAACACATAGGAGACTTAAAAGTCTATTAAACAGGTTGCCAATGATTACTGACTGCGGTAGTGATGTATAGCAGTGATGTAAGCATTTCAAAAACATTAATGAAAGTCTAATCTGATCTGTTGCATGCTGCATTCAAATCTTGTATTCATGTATCTTGTCTTGTATTAAAACTGCTTTGTTGTCTTTGATAAATGTCTACAATTAACTAAATAAAAGCATAAGAACATGACTAAACAAAATGATTACCTTTCGATATTTTAATTCTGAATTCTACAATCCATTAACAATGAAATATGTATCTAATGAAAATAAGTTGTCTGATGTAAAAAAATAAAATACAATTTTTATTATTTTATATTATAATGTATATTTATTTTTATGTAACACTATTTACACTGAAAAAATGATAAAACCGTTTTTACTCAGAAATTGCTAGTAAATTTCACAAACAATAGACAAACCTAATGGTTAGAGAGTCGGACTCGTAACCCAAATTGTTGCGGGTTTGAGTCTCGTACCGGCAGGGATTGTAGGTGGGGGGAGTGAATGTACAGCACTCTCTCCCACCTTCAATACCACGACTGAGGTACCCTTGAGCAAGGCACCGAACCCCCAACTGCTCCCCGGGCGCCGCAGCAAAAAAATGGCTGCCCACTGCTCCGGGTGTGTGTTCACGGTGTGTGTGTGTTCACTGCTGTGTGTGTGCACTAAGGATGGGTTAAATGCAGAGCACTAATTCCAAGTATGGGTCACCATACTTGGCCACATGTCACGTCACGTCACTTTATACTGAATTTTAAAAATCCTTTCTTGTGAAATGTAGGCTACTCCAGTGATATTTGTTTTATTTACAACTTAGAAAAGTAATTTTTTACAGTGTTATCAGTAGGGCTTAAGCTTGCACTGAAAGAAAATAGTCAAATGCTACTAAGCATGAAGATTTGTTTGAATGCAGTTTTGTGAAAGATCCTGGATAAGTGCAACACGTGCAGCACAAAAGAGGAACTGTGATTGCCATTTTGTTTGCTTGGTCTTGTGTATATGTGTAACGTTATACGATTATAGAGCTCACTCTTTAAAGTCATGTGGGTTCGGTTACCTCCTCGCTCCACAGCAAACATATTTGGTGGTCACATCATTTTTGGAACCATTTAGTGGGGTTTCTCTGCCTCTCTCTGGTCTCTACGGACACTTGTCCTTCTGGAAGGATGCCGGGTTTTCCAGGTATCCCTGGATTTCCTGGACGTGATGGAAGGGAAGGGATGAAGGGAGAGAAAGGAGATCCTGGTAAGATTGACTCTTGATGGTTTTTATTATTATTATTATTATTATTAATTTAATTTAAAATAAATAATTCGGAGTGTTTTAGTTTGTGGGAACCTACCAGGTCTTATTCAGAACCTGTTTTATATTTTAAATATACTAAAACCGAATGACGTTCGGTTCCGTTAACGCTGAAGCATTCGATACAAAGATACACGCAGTATTATATAATGTATGAAAGGTGCTACCACTTTTATATATTTAATATTGTTTAATATGGCCTATAATTAAGAATATAATTAAGAACTGAATTGCATTTTTGCCACCTGCAAAATAAGACTATCTGTATACAGCAATTTAGTGAACTATAGCTTCTTACCAAAGCTCAGATCAAATAATAAAACAACAAATGAAATTTAAGAGAAGTGTGTTGTATGTGTTTGTCTGTAAGTTTCATAGGCCTGAGTAGAGAGCAACAATTTCCATATTAACATTAAAACAATGACCAACATTGTGGGAATGAATTGGGTGAACCCAATGATGAAAACAAAAATACTAAATAATATAGGCTAACCTACTAATTAAAAGTTAAAAATGCCAACAGACGTTGAGACAGGGTTAGGTTGTAGTAGTGCTGTATACTGTACTTCTAACATGATATAAAAACAATTGGTCTGTCTCAACAGGGATTCCTCTTAAACCTGATGAAACCAGGAAAAAGGGGGGGGAAGGAGAACCTTGAATCAGAGGAATTCCTGGAAAGAGAGGTCTCCAAGGGGATTTCGGCATAATGGGACCACCCGGCCACCCGGGACAGCCAGGGGAACCAGGCAATTTGGACACTTCCAGATCTCATCTGCAGTCTGCATTCAGTGTTGTCCGTTTCACAAGAGCCCATCCCGAGCCAAACTCTCTGATACGCTTAAGAGATGTTATCACCGATATCAATAAGGATTTCAGTATGTTTCATGCATCGTCCAATGAAAAACATCTGTGTGTAAACCTAATTCATGATGAAAAGAAGCTAGCTGTTTTCTGTGACCACATGCAAAAGGGTAACCAGCAGGTGAGCTCTGGTGGGCTAGCAGTTTATCTGAAAGAAAATGAGAAAGTCTGGCTGACGACAGGCACCTATAATGGCCTGTTTGCAGAAGGGGAGAAAGCAGACAGTGTTTTCTCAGGTTTCTTGATTCATGCACACTGACTGATTGATGCACTGTTCAGAACTATGAAGTTGAGCAATAAGACATGCTTGTTAAACACACTGTATGTTTTACTCATGGAAAATGCACACAATCGAGTTTTGAAAAGCTACTTATCAAATAAAATAATGCTTCAGTAAATTGTCTTGACAAATTACAGTTTTTATGTTTTGTCAATGCACTGTCCAATATGGATAACTTCGCTTCCTTCTTCAATTTCTCAGAAAAGGGATATGGAACTTGCAAACATTAGCAAAATAAAATGTCAATAACACTAATGAAAAAGGTAATTCAAGGTTTATCTAAATGAATATGTGAATGATGAGTATGTGTTTCGTTACTTCCCTTTATTGTGCAACACTGCACTTCTCCTGTGAAACTGGGAAATCAAATCAGAGCTCTTCATGCAGGCGGGAGAAAACATTTTAATGTAACACTTATCTTCAAAGCTATCCATCTGTATTTCCAACAGCTTTCTTGGAAGATAAAATGGTAAGATAAATTATGAATCTTATTGATATAAATCTGTACATGGCTTCTGTTTTCAAAAATTAATACATCATTTGATTAAAGGAAAATTTACATGCTTGCTTATATCTGTTGCTGTAGCAGAACTGAATTGTACAATGATTTTCCTTGACATGGCACTTCTTTTTAAATATGTTTATTTTTTTAATATAGGCAGATAAACAGGCATTTATCTTCATGCCTGCACATACAGTGCTGCAGTTTACTATTATATTCTTGCTGGTGGCCTCCTCTGAGTCAGATACATGTGATGGCAACAGGGGTTTCTCTGGAATAACAGGTATTCCAGGAGTTCCTGGTACCGATGGGAAGGATGGTGCAAAAGGAGAAAAGGGAGATCCAGGTATAGTGATTACACTACTTTTCTATGTGAAAATCTGCAAATTGAAAGTCAAAAATGTACCTTCTGTTTCTCCTGACTGTCCTAAATAAAGGCAAAGAATCTGATAAATAAAATTTCAATTAAAGGTCTGCATTTAAAAATTGTGCATTTAAAAACTCTGTGCTGAAAACCCTTTACCTTATTTAGTGTTCATGGCCAAAAATGACCAGCCTTTTAAAAATTATGCTATATTATTTTTATTAAATCAAGGATTCACTCTTTTTTGTCAACTTGATTTTTTTTTTCAATTAGCACAGGTTTTAGATTTCTTTTTGGAACTGATTAGTCATAGGCCTCACTGATCTGAGCTTATGCACCTCAGTTATTGAGAGAAAAAAAGCTTTATTTGTTGATAATTTTGGCAATATTTACTCAAAAGCTGATGTAAACTGATGTTCTCTTAAGCTTAGATTAATGAGGCCAATTAGTTCTAAAAAGAAATACAAAATTTGTTGATAAAAGTTGATAAAAAGATTCAATCCAATATTTGGAAATGCATAAGCAATTTTTTGTAGGCCAGTCATTTGACTAGGAACACCAGAAGTTTAACAAGGTTTAAGAAGTAAAAAAAAAAAAAAATTATTTCTTTCTTTCTTTTAAATTAAAATTATTTTCATTTTCATAATTTACTCGCCGAAGTTGTTTCAAACCTGTATGAGTAAGACATTTTGAAGAATGTTGATAACCAAACCGTTTCTAGTGCCCATTGATTTCAGTTGGATTTTTTTTTGTCCATATTTTGGAACTACAGAGATACTCATGCAGGTTTGGAACAATTTGAGGGTGAGTAAATTATGACAGATTTTTTTTTCTCTTTTTTTAGTGGATTATCCCTTAAGTTTTAGTCTAATGTGAGAACATTAACTAGCATTTTCTAGAAAAAGAAAATCCTCCCTGAGTCAAAATGACCGGAACGCAACATAAAGGTTAAACTCACTTTACGCAGCTGTGTGCATGATTGCAGGTGAGTAAGTGCCGATAACTGGGCCAAAAGGGGATCCTGGAATTGCTGGACTCCCAGGCAGGCCTGGTGAGAAGGGGGACAACGGACTACAAGGTCCACCAGGGCCAATAGGACCAAACGGAAAGAGGGAGATGGTCCTCACTGCAGAACACAAGATTCAGGGGGTGAGGTTGGATCCAACTCCTCCCACCTTACATATACCTAAACCTACCCGTCTCCACCCCCTGATCCCTAAACCCACCTATCTCCACCCCTAAACCTACCCATCTCCACCCCTAAACCTACCATCTCCACCCCCTAGATGTGGATCCAACCCCGCCCCCTGGATCTTTGTTCAGCAGTGAGGGGCTACTGGAGAGTGGGGAGATTTTACGGGGGTAGATACTCCAAATCAGTATTTTGTTTTCTCTTACAAAAAAAGTCCTAGGTCACAGAGAGTTCTTCCAGACAAATTAATCAGCTTTGAAATCCCACTGATCTCCGGGGCAGGTGATGTCTTTGATAGTGACGGACGGTTACTTTAAGGTGGAAAAAGCTGGCATGTATTACATAAGCTACCACATTTCATCCAGTCAGTCTGCCTGCCTAAAGATTCAGGTAGGGGAGGAAGAGAAGGTCAGGTTCTGCGATTCACCTGGGATGATAATGGTAACTGCAGGATCTGTGGTACTGCCATTGAAAACTGGGGATAAAGTGTCTGTACAGGCAACTGCAATACACTCTATCTTCAGTAGAGACACTGACTGCACCTTTACAGGCTTGTTGCTCTTCCCAATGAATGGATAAGATGATGTTGATCAGCCACACTCTTACTCTTCCTTAGATTGTAATTTGTAACAAATGTATCCAAAGTTATTGTTGATTAAAAATATATGGAATCATATA